AGAAAGGGTGGTAGCCAGAGGCCTGGACAAACCGCAGCCTGAGTCTGGGCCAGGAGCTGGCAGAACCCCCTCTCCCAGGAGGTCAGTCTGCCTCTGAGTCCAGCCTCTGCTTGTACAAGGTCCACCCTTTCCTCCAGGTGTGCAGGTTAAATGTTTCCTCTTCAAAATAGATGCCTTCACAGCGACTCCCAGAACAGTGGTTTGCCAGACCTCTGGGTACCACGGCCTGCGGTCTAGCTGGCCGCGTGGACCACCATAACCGCCTGCTGAGCCAGAGCCCCGGCCCTGCACTCCGAGGGTGGGCTCTCTTCTCGATTCCTCCTGGCCGTTGCTCTGGCTTCCTCCTCAGTGCCCACCGTGCTCTGCAGTCCTCCTCCTGTGCAGCAGCTTCCAGGTGCATTGGCATCTCTGGGTGCACAGTAGGAAAAGACCTCTCGATGGCATGGCTGAATGTCCGCTCTGGGAGGAACCTTCTCTTGACAATGAAGCGAGGGCACAAAGCACGAGTCCTTCCCCTGGACTGGAGAAAGCCGGTGACTACCGGTTGTACTGAATGCTGCCCGGGAGCAGCTCAGCCGGGTCTCTGAAGAATGGGGAGAAAGGACAGAAAGGAGGGAGCGTTCTCAGCGTGGCAGGACAGATCTTCACTTATGACCTGTGGAAACTGTGTTTTTACTCATATTTCATTCGTCTCTCATGCTTTTTGTAGAATGGCAGGTTCTAAGGGTCAAGGTCCACCTTAGAACTGACTGGTTAGATTGGAACAAAGAGCTTGGCATGAAGTCCCAAGTCCGCCCTGAGTTCAGCCGATGTCCATGTGGCAGGAAATCCAGGACCTGGGACAATCACTGCACACCCTGCAGGCAGGGTGCTTTCGGCCCTGACCTGACCTCAGCAAATGGGTGATCTTGTGGTTATTGCTCAGTGGACACCTCCCAAAAGCTTCCTGAGGATGTCAAGAGGAATAAGTAAACTCTTTGCTTCTGTGCCTGTCCTATTGGGATGGGTTTGTAAATTATATCTACCGGTAAACCTGTAAAGATAGATGAATCGTTAAAAAGCAAGGACGGTTTTCAACATGTGTATGTAAAAGCATCGTGAATTTTTCATAAAGGAAGGCTAGAATGCTCAAGTTTTAAATAAGACTATGTGTCTGGGTGCTCCTTAACATTTTCCCCAAAACAAAACAAATGTTTGATCATTGCTGTTTGATCGGAAAATATGGTGTGGGAACAGGTCTTTGAAGCCAGGAAGACAGAGGTCACTGTGTTTTGCTTTGTGTTTCTATCATCTAGCAGAGTCAGAAAATGTGAAAGCCAAATGTGTATTTAAGATGCAGTGACACGAAGCACATTTCCTGGATGAGGACCAGCAAGCATGCGTGGGAGTCAGCTGCGCACTTTCAGAAACGCTTGTTCTCTGGACGGGGACACTGTTCTGTGCCTTGTGAGCTTCCTGTTCTGCGTTAACAGAAGCTCGGGTTTATGGTGTTGGCCACTTTGTATGTTAATCAGTGAATCCCAGGAATAAACAGGGCGTCATTCTGAAGGGGATGACGGATCCCCCCTGTAGACCCTGAGTCCTCCCACACAGGTTTGGATTAAAGCTCTGTCTTACATAGAAGAGCAGCAGTGAAAGATCTTTGACCTGAGACTTTCCTCAGGTAGAACAGCACCTCATCTCTTCAGAATAGCGCAGTCTTTTTCTTTAGTACTTAGAACCTTGCCAGTCAAGCGGGAGGGAGTTCGTGATGCAGGTTGCTTTTCCTAGTACCAGTCAGGTCATAGGAAGAAAGGACCGCAGGGCGCTGCGCTGTGTTAAATGCGGCTCATCCGGGGACTGGTTTTGGTGGAGGTGTCGATGCAGGCGGATCCACCTGCCTGCTGGCTCACAAGGTTAGATCCGAGCATATGAGCACCTGACAATCGCTGCTGTGGAGTCACAGTTTTCCTGTTTTAGCTACAGAATAATCTGAATCCCGCTCTTACATCCTGTGTGTCTGGGAGCACGTATTCTTGAAATACCCAAGGATTCAACACCACCGCAGAGAGCTGGCAGCACTGGTTGTCTGTGAGAAGCTGGTGCCGGGAGCCGATCACCCCTGGCCAGGCCAATGTGGTCAATGCAGGGGCGGAAGTGAGTGGTCCACCGACCCCAGGTCCCCAGTTCGGAGACATCAGCACCTCTGGGCCTTGACTGCTGTTTCCATGAAAGGCTCAAACCTGGCCATCTTCAGTGTTTCTGGCTGCTGTGATCATCTAGTTCTGGAGCAGAATTCCACGTTTCTGGTGCAGAGGCTCTTGTCCAAATCGTCCTGCGCATGTCTGGTCGGAACACACACGGGTCAGGACACAGCTGTGCCATCACTGGGTTCTCATGCTGGTGCCACTGATCAGCTGGGAGGTGCTCACACCCGAGGTCAAATGAGGCTGTGCTAGGATCTGACTGGATGGCTGAAGGTGATGGAAGCCCTCTGCTGACATCATCACTGCACCAGCGCTGGGTTCCGATCTGAGAAGCCCCCACCCTGCCGTGTGTCTGGGTCCTGCCTGTTACACTGGTGAGAAATCCCCTGAGCTCCCACACCATCACCTTCCCATATCCTGGACCAAATCAGAACCACAGCTCTGCACACACCACCGTTTTGCCTTTAATCGGGTTCACTGGCAGTCACTGTAATGTCCTGACAGTTTGAAAGTTCACTCCCAAAGCAGAGAGTAGTTCGGGGACTACTGGGAAGCAAGAGGTGGCGTCAGCTTGGGAGCGAGTGATGGTTTATGGGTGCAGAGCTGTTCCAAGGCCAGCGCCCTGGGTCCCTCCTTATAAACCTCTTCCCAAGTAGTCTGTGATTGCTTTTATCGCTGTCCTGTGGTTGGGCCCCCTCCAGCAGCCCTTCTTACCTGTGTGGAAGGCAGGTCTGCAGCAGAAGGAGAGGTTGGAAGACCAGCCGTGGCGACCCTGCGTGCCAGTTCTGCTCCTGTCCAGCATCAAAGAGCAGGTGTGGCGGGAACCCCCGGCCTGGGTGCTGCGCTGTGGATGCATGATGACAGGAGCCAGCGCAGCCGGCACCCCTGAGCCCGGGCGTCACCTTTGCTGGGTGAGGCCGGAGAGAGCTGACACCCGCAGGCGCAGGACCCGTGGGTGTTCAGGGCTGTGACAGAGCATGCACCTGAGAGCACACTTGTGCCATGTGTGCACCCTCAGGGGGCCCAGCCGCAGGGCCCGGGGACCAGGGCCACCATCCAGATGGAAGTGAGTGGACACCCTACTCGGTGCCCCACCGAGGGCTGAGGGTGTCCCTGTCCCTGTGACACAGTGGGGACCTAACTCCTCGAGGAACCGCTGTCCTCTGAGCTTCACCTCTCTCTACTCTCAGTTAGTTCTCCTCCAGTCCAGGGCTGCGCTGAGGGGAGAAAGGGCTGCTCTTTCCTCCTCAGACCCCGTCGGAGGACCGCCTGTCTCCTCTCCTGCAGAATGGTAGGGAACACACTTCCCCTTTTGAAAATTTCACTTTTCATCAGTCCGTGTTTGCAATACAGGATGGCTGCACGCATCTCGGGGATTCGGCATGTGAGCACAGTGCATCCTGATTCTTTTTATGCCCCCCCTGCTACCCCTCCCTCCATCTCTTCATGCCCTTCCCATTTGCACATGATCTGTCGCCCTGTTTCCTATTATCCATCCTTTATTTTGCTGTGTATACTTTGAGCTTCTTGTATAAGAGAAACCATGTGTTAGTGAAGCTCGTGGGTCTGGCTTACTTCGCTTTACGCTATGGTCTCAAGGTGCGTCCATTTTCCTACAGATGACTCAAATTCATCATTCTTTACAGCAGAGGAGTACTCCGCTGTGTGTGAAACCCGCATTGTCCTTATCCAGCTAGTGATAGACACATAGGCTGCTTCTGAGACTTAGCTGTTGCGACTTGTGCTGCTATAAGCCTGGGTCACCATAATGTGATGACTTTAGCTCCAGTTTTCAGACACGTGGTGTGGGTCCCCAAGGTGGCAGGTCAGCACTCCTGGCTCTCTTTGTTGGTGTGATCCTGGCTACACAGCGCTGTGCAGATTCCAGTCATTATGCATCCCAGCTCATTGCAACCTTATGTTTTCTTCATTAAGGGTCACCTGCTGGGAAGTGCATGGAAGAGACCCTGTGGCCAGTGCCACAGAGGGTTCTGAACTCATGGCTCATCCTCCTCAGAGAGACAGAGGAACTGGAGGTGTCATCAGAGTGTGGTCATCCCTCCCAGCCGGTGAGGAGGTGTGAGGGCTCCTAGCACCATCATGGAGGGCTAGGAAAGCCCAGGCACGTCTGAGCAGGTGTGTGTGCTTTCCAGGGTGCAAAAGCCAAAGGAGCTTTGGTTTTCCTAACTCAATCACTGTTCTGTCTGGGTACTGTTAGAAGCCTGCACTTAGCTTTGCTCTTCAGCCTGGAAAGTGCGTGACCCGCTGAGTCAGGGCCATCCGCGGTTGGATCAGAGGTGCTGCCTTCCAGATAGGACACTGAGCATGAACACAAAGGTCTCCCCATGCAGGTCAAAGTGCCCACTGAAGCTGTGGAACTAGGAGCCCTAAAGCCATTGCTAAACCCATATGAGTGTCAGGGCCAACCTACCGCTCCCTTCCTATTGGCTTGTCATTGCACCTTCCCCCTCTATGCCTCCCTGATTCAGTGGCCTTCATGCACCTCATGGGAGCCAGGCCTAGGGCAGTGAGGCCTGGAAAGCTCCTTTGGTCCACTCCACTTGACCTGGATGTGAGGTTCAGCCATCCCATCACAGTGAATGGGACAAAAGCAGGTGCAATGTTTCCAACAAACACAACTCGATGTATTTTCCAAGTTAGAAGAATACGACTCTAGGAAGACAGCAGCTGTGTCTTGAGCTGGGAAATAAAAGCAGGACGAGTAACCTTCAGCCTTGTGAAACCCTAGTAGCTGTGAGAGAAGGCCTGGCATCCACCCACTAACTTAAGCTCCTATCTCAGCGTGCACTGATTAAAGCCCAACAAAGAAACAGCAGCGTCACCTGGGCTCCTGTCCTTAAGTTCCGCTCCATTTCCGCTGTGGCTCCGGTCGCAGGCACTGGTTGGTGAAAACGTGTGGGTTTTGACTGACATCTGGAATGAGCTGCGGAGGCGAGAGTTTATTTTAACAAAGATGGGATTGAGAGAGGTTAGTCCCTTGCTTCGGTTGCTGGTGTCAAAAAAATTTGCTCTATTTTGATACTTGCCTTTGTTCTCTCCATTGGGGAATTAAACTCTATGATAAACAGACATTACAGCGTGTTCTAGGAAGTGAGCGGTGGTGACTTTGGTGGATGCCCCTGGCTCGCTCTAGGCTGCCACGGGTAATTGGTGCCACCAGGCACGGAGAAAACCCACCTGCCTTCAGTCCTGCTTTTGGACAATATGCCCTCCCCAGAATCCCCCTGCTGGCCCCTGAGCTGACTTTAATAACTCCCTTGCCGTGTCCCCAGGCTAGCTCTCTTGGCACTAAGTCCTCCACCTTGTAAAGCCCAGTTGCTGGGTAACACCGCGCTCGCTTTGTGATGCTTGCCTCCTGCCTGTCCTGCGTGGCTGCAGGAGGTGATCACATAATTCACGGGAGCCGTGTTCCAGCCGGGACCCTTCCTCCCAGGAGGGGAAAGCACAACGTCATCCTAGTCCTATTCAGAATTGAATCATCTGCACAACTAGAAGCAGGCAAAGCTACCTTCTTGAACTGAAACACAGATTATATTTGGAATTAAATCATCCAGGCCTCCTCTAGCTCTGTTAGGAGGAAAGACTTTTTCCCTGTTTTGGTGTCTGCTGGGAAACCTCCTCCCTAGTTGCTGAATGAATGCGGGGAAGCCCTCCCTTCCACGCCTGGACTCTGCCCTCAAGTCAGACAAACCAAGTCTGAATGAAGCCTTAAAGAATGAGCCTCTGTTCCAGTGACAACAGAGAGACTTGTGCTGGAATTTGGCGGGGAGTAACTTAAAAACCCCAGTAACTGAACATCTGTGCTAAGAGGGTGCCTAAAATCTGTAATTTCTAATCTGTTGAAGCCCTGTCATAGAAACTGAGGTACTTCTGACCCCTCTCCTTGGAGCTGTGAATGCCTGTCATGACGGATAAAGAGAAACATGAAACTCTTTTCACACCAACTTGCGGGTTCCCTGACGTCATCAAATGCAACCCTCACTGTCTTCCCACAAAGAGGCTGTGTTTGACTCATTTAAATGCAGTAGAAATGTATCAACTATGATGTCGGTTGTAAACTTGCCATTGTAGAATAGGTCATGGGTTTAAGTGAATAATCCAGCTCAGTCTGGTGCTCAAGTTTGCACAAATTTAACACAATTTGTACGTGGTGTCTGTGACAGTGGGCATGCAAGTTTGCAGCAGGTAAAGAATGGATAAGAGAAATGCCTAGACACTTGTGCTTTCAGACGCACAAAAGTGCCACCCTGTGCTCAAGCCTGTGCTTTCTCTGGTGGGCTTTGACATGGGGCTCCTGCTCCACGCTGAGCCTCAGGGTAGCACCTGGCCCTGCAGGGCCCTCCCATCCTCAGAGACCTGTGGGCCACTTCCTGGTTCACCGGTCCTGAGGAAAGCACCTTCTTTCTTCCAGTTGAATCACAGAAAAACCTTGAGCTTTGAAACCAAAGCTCAGGGAGTTCCCATTACAGAAAGGGCTCATCCAGGAGCCCAGTGTGGTGGTTCATCAGACTGCCTGTCTTTGCTTTCAGAAATCCTCAGAATGAGGCCCTCAGGGGGAAGCCAGGGAGTCAGTTGGAGGTGCCTGGAGGGCTCCTGCAGTACTGTGGAGAGGGACCCAGCCTCTCCTCCCTCACAAGCCCAGGAAACTCCCCTGGCCTCGTCCCTGTGAAGCTCTGTCTGCAGGTCTGAGATGCATGGATCCAAACCTCACTCACTGACGGGACTTCTGTGTCTGACACACTCACTGTCATTTGCGCAAATACATCCGTGTTTTCTGTGTCCTTGTACGGTGATACTTCAGTTCATGACACCTCTGTTCTCAAACAATTTGGTTCACATACCGGAGTGTTTGGCAGACTTTTGCTCCTGTTTTCAAACTCCCTATCAGGTGAGGAACATGTATGTGGCTGTCTTCCCCAGAATATGGGACAATTTAAGTGCATGAACCGAGGCATCCCTGTATTTATAAATGCTCCTAAATGTGAGATTCTCCCTTTGCAAAGGCTCAGCTTCTCCATGTCCATCCCACCTCGTCAGACTTGCATTGTAGGGAGAGTTGTAACAAGTTCAATTAGGCTTAAACACCATTTCCTTATAGCTTTAGAGAATTGCGTTGTTATTGTTCCAACACCTGTCAAAAATGAGCATATTTATCGTATTAGTTTCTTCAGCAAAACAAACAGAAAAGCCACACTTTAAAAGGTTTGTTACATTCAAAGGACAGTTCTCTGGGCCTGCGCACTTGAACCCTAGTAAAACAGTAAGACTCATGCTCCATCTCATGCCCTTCCCACCTCAGCACAGCCTCCTGCTGAGGACGGAGTCTTGGTGGCTCCATGGGAGCCACAGCCCTGGGCCTGGATTTGCTTCTCCTGCCAGGACTAACCAGGAAGATGACCACTGGTGTGATGGTGCCCGGGCACCTGAACCAGGTTCTAAGCATGGCTGTGGGAGGCAAGTTCCTTCCGAATTCCCTCCTTCCTTCCTCTCTCTCTCTCTCTCTCTCTCTGGTTTCAACCTTGAATAAGCATTTGTTTTTAAAAACTCTAGGCCTTTTCACTGGAGAATGGTATTCAGAAGACAAGATATGGGTACTGGGTGTGTTTGTTGTTACTGGGGTGTCAACGCCTCCACACCAACTAAGCATATACAACCTCACGTCCACACGTGTCCTGAATTGTTCCTTGGTCTCTCTCTCTCCCTCTCCCTTTCTCTCTCTCTCTGTCATGTGTGTGTGTGTGTGTGTGTGTGTGTGTGTGTGTGTGTGTGGTGTGTGTGTGTGTGTGTGTGTGTGTGTGTGTGTGTGTGAGAGAGAGAGAGAGAGAGAGAGAGAGA